CGGCCTAGACCTTGAGGCTTGAAAGTGGTCTTCCTTTTCCGTTGACTCCGATCCTCCAGATGGAAATGATATAAAGGATCATTTTTATCTTATTTCATATGAGCGAGCCAGTCAGCAAAGTGGCTATCCTGTTTCAGCATTCACCCACACAATAGTTGACTGTCAGTCTGTCATGCTGTCAGTGTTGTGAAGCAATGAAGGAGTTGAGTTTTGTTGATTATTAATTGTGATGTTATGTAAAGGACTGGAAAATGAATGTGAAAACTATGGAAACATATTGGCAGAGTATTGTCACTTACTAACAGGACATATGGATAGAGAATACATTCAAATTAATAAGAAATGCCAAATATCAAGGTACTCAATCACTGATAGCAGTGGACTATCATATGTTTTAATGTCAATTATATGAAAGTTAAGACTGAAACTACCTTTTACCTCATCATAACTAATGAAAAATTGTGTGAAGAAAACATTCACAGCCTCTTTGAAGCACTTAGACCACTAAAAAACAAAAATTTTCACGTAAATATGTAGTGTCTCCTTCCTTCAAAACATCATATCGGATGGCACCACTTTCGTCGACAGTTACTTATCTGCACGCAAATCGAGGAAAACGTGAATTGATTGACGTTTACGTGTTTCCAAATTTAAAATCACAGCATATTCAAACTTTTCAGTGTACCTTTTAACATCTAAGTACAACTAAAACGATAAAAACTTACCCTCAACACAAGGACGACGACAACCACGCGACCGGAGACGTCGCGACGAAATAAACAAACGGCGCCGCCAAATGAAAAATATTCTCCGATATGGGTAATGTGAAATTGAATCGCAATCATTTTGGGTAGTATGAAAAATGCTCTTTCCAACAGAACCCTAGTAAAAAACGTGAATGGACAAAAAATAACTTTTATTTCGACATAAATATTGGCCTGTTTTTAAGTCATCCTGGTATGCCGTAAGATTTCGACCTATAAATTGGTGTTCCCCCAATCATTGAAGCTTGAGCAGTGAAAAATATGAAAGCCTAATCTGTTTTGCATCATTAGTGATTCTCCTAGGGTGTTGCCATTTCTCCCTAGGTGTTGCGAGTTGCTTTTGCAAAACGTGTTCCTGAAACGGCTCAATTTTTTGAGCCCTCAGCATTACGCGTATGGGAGCCTCTGACGTCACACGCTCAATATTTTGAGCGCTCAATAATTTGAGCTTTTCCCCCTTGTGCGTGGGACTGATTAGTGGCTACAATTTGTATATCTCGGAATTTTGATATCGGTGACCTAAGGTCAGGTCAATTTCGCGACCTCCCCATTATAAGTCAATGGGGGAAAAATCAACTCCGTTTTTACCACTAAAACGGGTCGGAATGGCCCCATATACCATACATGACTTCATATACGATCAACCTTCACTACCTTGAGGTCTGTTTTGCTGTTGGGCAGCTGTGAGGTCATGTGACGTCATCAAAGGTCACCAAAGGTTTTTGGCCAATAACTCCGTACAGGAACAAGATACAGACGCGTGGATGGTCTCATTGTGTTCAGCTCGTCAAGACGCATCGAATGATATACATGATGACCTCGAGGTCACGTGACCTGAGGTCAACCTTTGACCTTGACCTTTCGAGGTCAACATATATATCATTCGATGCGGATTGACGAGAGGATCACGATGATGCCCTTAGTTTGTTCCTATCTTGACTAATTCGAAAGTTATTCGAGAAAAACTCTCGCCATATTCAGCGCCGCCATTTTGACTTTTTCGACCCCTGTGACGTCATCTTTGACCTGACCTGAAAATGACCTTAGTAAAAATTGTAGATCTTGACCGTGCGTATCCGATGCCGTTTACCGCTTGTCGCTATCTTGCTTCGTTCTCGAGATCTCAGGGGGGGGGGCGGTAATCCGCCCCCCCCCCCCGTCGGTACTAAGTTGGCGCAGACCCCCGTCGGTGCGCGGGTTAAAGCTATTCAAGATACCTGAGAAGAAAATTCAGTGTTCTGTTAGATTTACAACATGCTTTAACTTACGTGTTGTTGTAAATCCAGCTGCGCTTAATGCCCTCGCAGGGAAAGTTAGCGGGGTTTCACTGTCAAAGACTGTACTAGCGACAGCTGTTCGGCCGCGCGACCGGTCAAAGGTTACCCTGCCACCCTGCCCACCGGGCGCTACCCCCACTCCAGCCCCGCTGAGGCCGGTACAGCCGCTGACAGTTGCTTTAACAAAAAACGCAATTTTTTAAAAAGGCCATCGAACGATTTTGACAAAAACTACATTTTTGGAATGAGCTCACCGTCAGCTTTCAAATGGTATAATTCGTTACTTTTGTGCATGAAATGACCTTCCGACGAACCGTGCAGAGGGACCGTCAAGTAATACTTGAGCACAGCGCGGCAGTGAACGCACATATATGTACGGGTCGCATGCGGAGCTTTTTTAAAGTGTCTTTTACCCATATCGTGTCTCTTACCGGTTTATTGTCTTCTGCCCATATTGTTGAAGCGAGGACATAAAAAACCAGCGATTGTCTGGATAAGCTGTAAAATTTAGATTTATTCTGATTCTGATTCTGGTGCCAGCTGTGCAGTGTGCACGCCAGATTTACCGGCGGTTGTCTGTACCGCCTCTGATAGACTCATATAGAAGCAAAACGTCGGTGTTTTGACCTCCTTTAACTGATCGCAAATGAGCGTCGAAGGAATTCGACCAGAAGCCTGGAATGTAACTCCGCCCAAATATATTTTTTTCTTAATTGACCTCCGAATCCAGTACCATACGAATTACGTAACTTCCCGATTATTTGCTATATAAACATAACATCTACCCAGTCGTCAAGTTTGTATGTGCGGGCGACGCCAGAGTCGCATCTGGCAGAGCCGTGCAGCTGTGACATCGCTACATATGTATGCTATAAGAGAAATACATAAATTCTAACTGGCTGCGTCCGTAACTGGAGGCGTATGTTTTTATTTTGCCCAGATACATTAGTGTAGAAGAACAAAAGCATGCCCACTATTTTTAAAAAGTAAACTTAGCCAAAGGTCATGATAAGTCAAATTTAGTCCATTTCAACATTTTTGGAAACTGCCCACGGCTAACTCGGGAACCAATAGAGCTACAGCGCCGCGGGAAAGCGCATTCGATAGCATTTTTACAGGCCTTTCTAAATATTGTCCTCCGATTTGACCTCAAGTCCATGGTTTAGCCTTCTGAGGGCAAAAACTATAAAGATAACAGTTTTCACGAAAAAAAGTTTTTTTTCGGTAATAACTTTTGACTCAAGAGGATCACAACAAAACTTTTGCCAGCATCGTATTTCTCTCGTCGAGACACGTCGAATAAATTAAATGTTGACATTGAAAGGTCATTTTGAAAATTTGACCTCAGACCAAGGTCATGATGTGACTAAAAACAGCGCCGCCGTTTTTGAGATATTCGCGAAAACCTGAGGGGGGGGGGGCATGAAAACGCCTCCCCCAGCACGGCGCGGGTTATTACAGCCACATCTGCCTACAGATGTGGCTGTAATCATGGCTATCATGGCGCCTACTGGATGCAAAACCACAGACAAAACATGTGTCAATATTTGGCCCAGTCCTAGGTGTGGCACATTGGCGGTTTTTGGCATTATGATTTCCGGGTGACAGATAACATAGCCTTCCAGCTATCGATTGTGTCAAATTAACTACACAGTAAGCAGTAAATCACATGCATGCAAAGCAAGCGGCAAGGCGAGGGCGGAGATCACTAAGAAAGCTACGAAATGAAGATGTGAGGTGAGGTGATGATAAGAATAAAAATAACACTGTCACGTATTTTGTACATGTGTATGCATGACATATATTGTATATGTGCTTATGATTATATATATGATTATACCGGCCGGGCCCGAAGATATCCCAACCACCGCAGGCCGCAGCCCCCGGGGACGTTTTTCGCCACCCTTGTCTAGCACAGTAAATAAGGGAGCTATGGGAACAAAAGCGATACCAAACAAAAGGTCTACACATGACGATTGAAAAGCATCTAGAACTGTCGACCTAGGTCAAGTTTCAAGGTCAGAGGTCAAGCCTTAAAGTAAAAACCAGCCCATGTGTAATTACCTGAAGCTATGTGTTCTACATAGATTATAGCAGGGTCGTAAAACGGGCAAAACTGGTTGAAAACGAATGAAGACATTCTGAGGAATCCCATGGCCATGAGGTGCTCAAATATAAAGGTCAAGGTCATGCTCATATTGAGGTAAGTGAACTTTTCCTTGTATTATATATACCGTAATCCATTAAAAAAAAACATTTTTAAGCTTATATTCCTGCCCATGTAGCAATCTATGACTGCCCAAGATCAAGGTCATGCAAGAGTATCCTTGCTCTAGAGGCTATTTCGCAGCTTCTCTCTATGGTGTTCCTTTTGCCAGAGTTAGCATCGTCCTCCGTGGTCTCCTCTGCCGTATCCCAACGCACACCTACTCCTTCCTTAGATCCGATCCGTCAGCAAATTTTTTTCACCTTATCCCGCTACTCCTTCCTTACCAGTGTCCGAGACATTCATTCAAATATAGATTTATTATGCGTCAAGGTCATCCAAAGAACACCCGAGGTCACATGAGCAGCCTTGAGCTTGACCAAGCTTGATCGTTTCCAAACAAAATGTATGACATTCGACGCGTCTTGACGCGAGAAACGCGTTGGTACTTACTACTGTCTTAGCTCAATGACTATTTTCTTTTCTTTTTTTGTAGCGAAAAACTAAAACCCCGGCTGGTGGTCTTCGACCGGACCTCAGAGCACCAGAATTATTATTCACTTGTATTGGTCATATGCTACACAACGTTCTCATAATGTCATTATCCATATGTTCTCATAATGTTCTCATAATGTCATATGTTTGGAAGTTGTTTGAAATTGTGATAAGCTTTTAGAAATGAATTACCGGCAGCCGGAGATTTGTCTGCAGGTAAAACTGGCCTCAGCACAGCAATCAATGCGGGGGCCTTACCTGCGGTGCGGGTTGAAGCCGTTTGTACCAGTAAGCCGTTTCGCTGCGCCGAAGTGAGGTGCCCCTCTGTTTTCTGTGGACCACGCGGTTCATTCACCACAAAGCCGCGAGTCCGAGCTGCTGGAGGCGCGCTTCACAAGCGATCCGCCACCCAGTTTGGGCCCGTTCCTCCTCCGTCGCGACTGTTTCACTTACACTACGCGAACTCCACGCGTGATCACAGCGATTAAATTTACCCCGCGTTCGATGTCTCCCGGACGACGAAGATTTCGTTACGGTCCAAGGCGGACAAGAGGACAGGTGGCGCCGCCGCCGCCCGCATAGCGGCCGGAATGTGAACTAACCTGCTTACCATAGGGGACTGTGTTAACCCGAGCCCCGCTGGGGGGGGGCAGAATCTGCCCCCCCCCCCTCCCGTTTTTCGCCAATAACTCCTAAACGCGTTACGCCAGCGACGTCAAACTTTGAGTATCTTATCATACATCAATTTGACACGTTCCCTGAAAATTTGAGTGAAATCCGTCTGAAAATTTTTGAGTTTTAGTGACGTCATGTTCGCAATTTTCGCCTAAAAAACGGCAAAATTTCAAACGCCGCTAACATCTTCATTTTTAAAGGAATCAAGACGTAACAAAAAAGGTTATACGTGATTCTACTTTGTCTATCAAATAGCTATCCGGTTTTTTGAATATTTAGGATTTTGGCCCAATTTTTTTTAAACTGACTTTTTTGGGAAAATAATTATAAAATCCAAAATTTTGAGTGTATCGAAAAAACCTGAATATATGTCAGAGAAGTGGTCTATGTGCACCTACACACCAATTTTTAGAAGAATCGGTTCAAAAATGTGGGAGTTATTCAAAATTTTATGACGTCACGACACACAATTTTTTAAATGATTTTTTGTAAGTTCTAGACCTCGTACGGAAACAAAAATTGCACCATTCGATTCGCCGTGAAAAACTGCATCAGATAGACACATTTTTAGGCCTTAACAGCCAACTTCAAAATTTGACCTCACTTGACCTGACCTTGACCTGACCTCGACCTGAAATTCATCCAGAGGTGGTCCATATCACTTATTGAGTGTGCCTATTGAATTCTATGAGTAAAATGACCCATAAAACATGTGTCGCACATGCCCTTTTCTATATTTTGTTTTTGGTGACCTGACCTGACCTGACCTGACCTGACCTGAACTTGACCTTGACCTTTGAATGACATTGTATTCAACGAATATTGTCTTGGTAGTCTAAGAACACGTTTTGGGCAATCAGTCTCAGTCCATTCTTCGGCAACTATGGTGCAAGGCCGATACTGTAGAAACTTGCATTTTGTACCCTTGACCTGACCTTGAGCTGACCTCTGACCTTCTTCAGCAAAAAAAAATTGGGCTCTTAAGATCCGCCTTGTTGAGAGCTTTCGATTGCCGTTTTCCCCGTCTTTCTACGACCATCGGTTCGGAAGTTAGACAGGAGGGGCAGAATCTGCCCCCCCCCCCCCCCCCCCAGCAGGGCGCGTATGGCTGAATAGCCCAGCGGGGCGCGGGTTAAAGGGACCCTCCCACCTTCAAAAAAGTTTATGAATTGGCATGAAAGTGATGTTGCTCGGTTCAGAAAGAGCGAAAACGAATATCTACCAAATTTCACCGAAAAATATTCACCGGTTTTCAAGATATTAGACTTTTACTTTTGTTTACTTTTTGGGATCCCCGCTGTTCCTAGCGACTTTATTTGGAAGCAATAGTTTGGCAGCTGAAAGTGCAGCACTTGTTGCGCGCAAAGCAGCATATGCCACCGCGTGCTACAAAACGTTTTAGTCAAACATTTAAAAATCGTTAGATATCTGCGCTGACGTCACACATTCAGAGGGGTATTCCTATGCATTAGCCCCTCTGAATCAAAATGCTGCAATTTTGAAATTCCATATTTCCGATTTAAGGCATTTCTCGATGTTGTGAGTGCCGAAACCGGTAATTGTGAGCCAGGGACCCCATTTTGGCTATCTCAACTCAAATCTAATGTTAAGGTGCAGGAGGGTCCCTTTAACGGCCGCCGTCGGCACCATTTCGGGCTTCGTTTTGACTTTGCAGCGCATTAAAAGGCTTATTTATAATTGAAAATGGACTAGCGAGAGTCGTTATGGAATCAGAATTTGATGCTCTACAAAACTAGGCTATTTTCATTGTGATGGCATCACAGACTACACCGCAAGCCCCAATAAAGCAGAACTATGTCACGCCATCGGAGATGACACAGCATTTGTTTCTTTGGTATAGACATTGAAAAGTATAACTTTTTTTACTGCATCTACGGTGCGATGGTAGAGAAAATTGTATGGCCTACCTAATGGTACCCATTACTTAGCAATTTGGTGTAATTCGTCGCCAAACTCTCGTAGATTCGTATGTCCGCCTCACTATGGAGTTCGGACCATAACGCTATGTCGTCCGGCCAATCGCGTCCAAGGTCAGCGGGGGCTCGGCTGCGGTTATGGAACGTGATTGGCCGGACGGGGTAGAAGCTTCGCCGTCCGAGAGACATCGAACGCGGGGTTAGTCGTGAAGCTACGAGGCGTAACAATGTGGCGAAGCTCAGCTCAATAACAAAATGCTCCAGCTGATCCACTACCGCCGACGACCGAACCGTTCGGTGCTGTCCGCTCGGTCACACAGAGTCCGCTGGTTATCAGCTCGGTCACACGGAGTCCGCTGATTTTCACTGGCTCACGTCACGTTTCTGACGGACGGCAGCACAATTGGTCATGGTATTCACGCTGTGCTCTAGGGGAGAGTGGGGTAATTTGGCCGTTTTTTTTTTTTTAGAAAACGATGTAACTAAAAATCGACAACACATTTCTGCATTTTCTCAACGCTGACAGGTGTGGCATACATTTTACTTTCCTGGACAGTTAACTTGAAATGATTGGGTTACTACTTATATTGAAATTGTGACGCATTACAAATGTCTGCAAAGCGGCCAAATTGCCCCACTAGCAGGGTTCTTTGGCCGGGGGTGTGGGGCAATTTGGCCGGTGTTTGTTTGAGGCCATGATTTTTGTTATCGGCGAGTCAGCCTCACATTCAGCAATGACGCGTGTCCTACGACGCATTTGAAGCATTTTGGAGGTTGACTCAGCCGTCACAGTGGTCGATCAAAATAGTCAAAATAGCGGCTATAGATGCGATGACACTTTTTTATGAATAGCTTTTGAAGTAATCAAGCTAGGCCAAAACTAAAAGTACCATCGTAATTTTCTCGTCATTCCGCATCGAAACATGTATGTTTTGACCTCGAGAGGTCAAGGTCAAAGGTTGGCTTCGGGTCACGTTACCTCAGGTCGCTTGACCTCAGGGTTACGTGAGTTCAACGTCATCATGTATATCATTCGATGCGCCTTGACGAGCTTAACACAATGAGACCATTTGCGCAGTTGTATCTTTTTTCTGTAAGTATTTATTAGCAAAAAAGCGTTAGTTAACCGTTGATGACGTCACATGCCCTTACAGCTGTCCAATAGGAAATATGGCATCAAGGTAGTCAAAGTTGGTCATGAATTATGTCCTTTATGTATGGTATAATTGACCATGACAACTCGGCCGTCCCAGCATAGTGACTCTGAGCGCACCGGCCAAGCTGCCCCGCTAGTCCCGGCCAAATAACCCCACATTGCCATTCTGAAAATTTTTTGTCTATAAAGTCGTCATGGCTGTACAGAACTAGATGAAATTGCTCTTGGAACCGCTGAACACCCTCCAGAATGGCGCTATAATGTTGGAATTCGTTTACAGCCCAAATACTACATGTTATTTAAGTTTTTAAACGGAAGTAAAAGTTACCATTTTCTAACGAAATTCACGTTTTATTAATTTTGAATAAAACTAAGAGGGGGAAAGTTTTGACATTTGTTCTCGAGTTAGTTCTGCCGATGACAAATGAATAGAGACTAAAGTTATTTCATTCACTTTTATCAGCTTTCGTACAGGTGGGGGCGGCCAATTTACACCACCGGCCAAATTACCCCACTCTCCCCTACCTGATCCACCATTGTCTCAGCCAGCTGCCAGCCCGTCCGCGGCACCGCACCAGATGCTTCGGAGACGCAATGGGAGATTCACCAGGGACACCGTGATATTCACAGAGACACCGTGGAATTCACCGGAGACACTGGGTTATTCAGCGGAGCAGGTCGCCGCGGCCCCCGGCCGGCCGCGCGGCGTTCCTCTCTGCAGGTAACCGAGGCCGCCGCGCTGCGCTCCGCCGGGCTGCCCTGCTGAGACAAGCGACTTTCACCGACCTGCCGTAATGAACCGGAGCGGCCGGCCGGCCTGGATCGGTCCGATGACCACGCCGCCAGGGGGCGCTCACATCGCGGAGCGGGTTGACAACTGAGTCCCGCAGCCTTGACGGAGGATGTCGGGCATCGAACGATGGCGGAAGGCTGAATTTAAGGCACTGATGCAATATCATATATCATTTCATATACCATTTGTAACTACCATATGGGTAGGTACCTAATACATAAATATGGACATAGACCTACCTCTGTATACAGAGGTCTATGATATAGTCCATATCATACCATATCAATCCATATCATATGGATTTACAAGGTCGGCGTTATTTTGATATGTATTAAGCCTATCATGGTTCTCTGATAATCGTGACGTTGCCTTCTTCCTTATGGGGGGGGGGGGGGGAGGGGGGTCAGCTGGGTCTCCACAGTTTTCCGCAAATAACTCGCGTCAAAAACGGCGAATCGTGACAAAACTTTCAACAAGCCCTGGAATGTACAATTCTTACGCCCACCCTGAACATTCCATTACCCTGACCCAAGGCCGTATAAGAGAGGTAGAATCATCCCGCGATTTCCAATGGACCGGTCGCTAAGCATTAGCGTGACGTCACTGGTGGAGACCGCGCGGCGCCCGGCTCCAAGCCGTACGTCTGGTACATTTGGCACTTTATCGTTGTTATTACTGAGCGTAACGACAACTAATGACTCTTAATAACTTTTTTACCCACCTTAAGCTGATTTCCTTGCCCATACATTACCGACCCGAGCCCCAGAGTTGACAATCTTGGGATATGGGTCGGATAGGCGACCTCGCGACGGGAGAAGGAACGATTGCAATTGTTGTGTCTCGCACCGCCGATTGCATTCTCTATCTGCACCCGGAGGGGGGGGGGGCTAGGGGCACGTGCCCCCATCGGATCAGGGGGCGTCTCGGGCGTCCACGCTGGCATTTTCGACTCAGAAGGGCCCCACAGGGTTCGAAAGAACACCGTATGTGCTCCGAATAGCCACACTTCTCTCCATAAAAACCACACACCGGCTTTTTGTTGTTCCTTGCTGGCCTGTCAGGGCCCATTGGCCATTGGTGACCTCTGAGAGCTACTTGCCGGCCTCTGAGGGCCCTTACCGGCCTATCAAGGACCAGCAGTTCTAAGGGTTTCACACACGCCTGTGGTGACCCCCTAACCCAGGTTGAAGGCCCCCACAACGGCGCCTGCGAGGGCCCTCACCGGCGGCTGTGAAAGCCCCAAACCGGTGCCCAGCTGAGGGCCCCACACTGCCACCTCTGAGTTCAACCGGCACCCCTGAATGAGGTCCCGAAACCAGTGCTTCTTAAGGCCATATATCGGCGGCTTTGGGGGCTCAACGCCGGACTACCTCTGACGGCCTCAGACGGGACCTGCGCATCGGACGGCCACGCACCGGTGACTTTTGAGGGCCCCACACCGACGACTCTGAGGGCCCCACTGGCGTCTGAGTGTACCTTGCTGGTCTGTAAGGACTCCACAGGGCTCCCGAAGGCTCCGCAGACCTCTTGAGAGCCCCTTGTCGGTCTTTGAGAGCTCCTGTCGGCCTGTAAAGGGTTCGAGCCAGCAGCTCTAAGGGTCCCACACCCGACTGTGACAACCCCACACTGCAGTGTCTCTGAGGGCCCACAACGGCAACTGTGATGACCCTCACCGGCGCCTCTGAGGGCCCACAGCGGCACCTCTGGGGGCCCCGCACCAATGCCTCTGAGAGCCTCACACCGGTACCTGTGAGGGCCCACACCAGTGCCTCCAAAGGCTTCATAACCGGCGGCCCTGAGGGCCCTATACACGGGTGATTTTGAGGGGCCTACCGAAGGCACCACACAATCCCTTAGTCTCGCTGAGCTTCTATCCCAATCCCATACCGGCTTCTATCCCAATTCCGGCTCAACTAATTAGCAGCCCCCCCCCTCCATGGGTCAGCAGCGCCGCGCCGGTGCCGGGGGCCAGCGCCATGGGGGCGGCAGTCGGCCACGCGCACTCAATGGTTAGCGCTTAGCACCGGCGGCTAGCGCACGCCCGGTGTGTTATCGGCCGTAAGCCGCTCCAAAACGGCTGCAGTAACTAGCCGATATAGGTAGTAAGCAGATGCAGAGATGCAGGTGGATTGATGACCGGCAAGCTTTTGTGTTTTACGAGGGTGAAGGGTCGAAGTCGGCTGCTAAGTGGTGAGCGGATTTTATCAGATGCCGGTTCACCATGACCTTTGTCCGGGTTCTCGTACCCTGACGCACTCTTGGAGAGCCGAATCACAGCAAAAATCCATCCACCACTGTATCTATACGGCTTACGCTTTTCCGAAAACGTCTGCGTTTAGCCTTCTACGGGCCCGGCCGGCCGGCCGGCCGGCCCAGATGGGCGGTCCTCCAGTGACGTCACCGGTAGTGTTAAGCTGATTGGCGAATAATACACGGGCGGTCCCGGGATGACAGCACCCTGCCCTGACCGAAAAAACTCTGACCCGGGACCTGTCACTCGTGACCAGCCAAACTCGAATTCGGTGTGTCAGTGCACAATGCACATCATCCGCACGATTCAAAACTTGTTTTATGACAAAAGTGAGAACATGTGAAATTATATTTATTCCATGGATTATGATGGAAGGGTCATGTTAAGGTTAGGACAAGGTCATGAAGCTTATATGGACTTGGTCGAGTTTGTGAACTTCGACGTTAGCTTTGGAGCTGATTTTAAATTAACCCTGGCCAGACCTAGCTATTGGTTTTCTACATACGCGCCGGTCGAGGGGGAGGGGCGGGTACGACTCCCCTCACCATTTCACCCCTAATGCAGCCGCGAACTCCGCGAAAAAAACGAGTGTGTGCGCCGTTACGAGATGCAGCGATTGGTACCTGATTTTAAGGTCTCAGGTCAACCGGTGACCTCTGAGGTCAGGTCAAGTGGCCCAAGGTACGGGTTCGTTTTTTGGCGAATAATTTCGCAGAAAATGATCGTAGAACCGCGATTTTGACAGCATCGCGTTTGCCTTGCTCAGGCGCGTCGAACGGTATAGTATTTATTTGGGTGATGTCAACTTTAGGTGTTGACCTCGGGTCCCGATCAGGTCAGAGTCCCCCAGATCACGAACTTGGTCGAAGGAGGTCATGTCGCATATCATTCGGTTCGGCAGGTCTTCCCGAGTCCATTGGTGGCTTTCCCGACTCGCGAGCTCAAATTGCTCAAGAGTTATTGATGAAAAACTCCTATGACCATAGTGAAGTCATGAATGACGTCACGCAAGGTCAACAATGCAAAAGTGAAGCATTGAACCTTGCAAGGATTGCACGAAATCACGATTCCGTGTGGTTGTGGTAGTTTGAGATCGTTTCCGGCGCCAAAATCATAGTTTTCATTTTTCCCCCATTGACTTATAGGGGTGAGGTCACGAAAACGACCTGACCTCATATGACCGTTAGGAAAAATCCGA